TCAGACCAGCCTGTCTAGCACCAACCACGTTCAAAGTCACTTAAATCTCCTTTCTTCACCATTCTGATACTCGGTTTGAACTTCAGCAAGTCATCTTCACCACATCGAGATGCCTAAATCCTAAGTTGCTGCCATGTGATTGGCTGATTAGCAATTTTTTTACCGAGCAATTGAACAGGTGTACCTAATAAACTGGCCAGTGAGTACACAGTTGCAAGAAAAAGTATGCGAACCCCTTGGGATTACGTGGAGTTTTGCATGAATTGGGCATAAAATGTGCTCTGATCGTCATCTAAGTCACAACATAAGAAGAACACAGTCTGCTGAACATAATACTACACAAACATTAGATGTTGCCATGGTTTAATTGCACATAACATGTAAACATTCACAGTGCAGGGAGGAAAAAGTATGTGAGGCCCTAGCTTAATGACTTCTCCCAGAGCTAATTGGAGCCAGGAGTGAGCCAACCTTGACTCCAATCAGTGTGATGATATTGGATGTGTTGCTGACAGCTGTCCTACCCTAAAAAACACAGTCTAATAATGGGATTGATGTAACCTCCGGGTTTCTGTGGCTGCGCCGTGATGTCATATCCAGTGAGTGGAGCGCATGCTGGATGCTGCGCTCCAGAAGCCATCTTTGCTGAGGTCTGATGTGGATTGCTGCCAGTGTATAAACTATAGGAGCTCTTCATTTGACACATAGAAATTTCTATGTCTTGGGGAAATTACATAAAGGCGTTTTGTTGTTTAATAAGCATGTGAGTGCATAGCAAGCATTTGATTTTAATAATTAAAACTTTTTGCAGTATTACATTATTAGTTTTTTTCTTCTTTATACCCATCGATATGTGTGGGAAATCCCTCGGTTGAAGCTTGTTGTGAAGCAGTGACAACCTCTATCATGGAGGATATGTAATATCCGCAAAGCTTGTTTGACTCTTAATGTTTAAGAGTTCATTACATCTGATGAGTGCAGTATGTGTTTGAACGTCACGGGTGGTGTAAACGTACTGAAATTTTTTACATACAGCACCATTGAGTAAAAATTGGAGCACATTGGATTTGGACTTTTTTTAATTTTGTGGATTGGGACTTTTTCACTTTTTATTTTTGGCACATATATTTATTTATATTGAATATTTTTTATTATTTGGTTATATTGTTAATATTATTTTTGAGCTGTGTTTTATATTTCACTAATAACGGGATCTGGCTAAGGTGTAAACCTAGGAATGGAGGCTTTATCACACCCAAAGCTCTAGAAAGACTCAGGGTTCCAGGACCCATAACAGAGCTTATTAAGATTCTAAGAAAACAAAACTTTTTTTTCTCCATATCGGCAATAAACTGTGGAGCTCCTCACCATATGTACTGTGTGAGAGACCAAGGTGACAAATACACACTGTCCACAATCCTGTCAGCCAGTGCCTAACAATACACATTATCATTATAGTCAGTTTTGCTGAAAAAAAACGAATAAATAATAATTAAATAAACGACAAGTATAAGAGCAGTATTTATATTCTATATAAATAATATGTAGTTGAAGTATGCAGTTTCAGTTTCATCTGACAACAAAAACCGATGAGACATAGTTAATAGATTACAGTTCTCATAGGGGAAATTGTGGTTCTTTGTATTTTAAAGGCTGGTGATGCATGAAGGCCACAGTAACAGGCATGCGGTGCGTAAACTGAATGGAAATAGATTGGCCCACATTTTTAACAAAGAAGATCTAAGGCTAATTTTTGACTATAGGCCAAATTTGAAAAGATCTTGCCAGATTTGGTTGCTAAGGCTTGTAATGTGCTAGCATGCATTAAATGAGATACATATTGTCGAGTCACAGCAATTTCCCTTCAATGTGCAATGTCAATGGAGCACACTTAAAAAATAAAGAATCTTGGAGAATTAACAATGACACTGTAATAAGAAAAACATCTTTGTATGGTTTTCATCAAACCACTTTGGTTCATCAGTATTTCATTCATGATAAACAGCCAGGAATTAAAGAAATTGTAAATTCACAACTTCAGCACATTGTAGCTGTAGAGGAATTTGTTTTAACTTAGTTTGTATCAGAGGAAAAAGGAAAATAATCAGAAGGTTTTAACTATATGTTCAATTAAAATAAATTATTACAATTACATGTTTAATTGTATATTGTTACTATATTGCTTGATGTTGTATTAGGTCTGCATGTTTGCCATTCACAATATAGAACACACAGATAAACTACTGCAAAGTGCAATGACAAACAGAACAGCAACCAAACAAATTTCAATTTGCTGAAGCCTGATTAGTCAATTATGAATTGTGATTGTTTGCTCTGTGTAACCGCACCTGTTATGAATAGGTGTTATGAAAAACATGTTCTATGCACAGATTTGTTTGTATCTAAAAATCTATTCTGATGGTGACTTGTCAAATCTCCTAATCAAACATTCATTGCTAACCATCACTTTTTCCACTATGTTTTTTGTATGAAATTAGATTTAATCAGCAGAAGCACACAATGTCAGAGACACAAAAGAGAAAGAAGGAAGAGAGTACAGCAAACAAATACACTTGACTTCTCTGTCAAAAACAGACCAATAACAATTAATCATAAACATTAATGCACATATTCAGGTGTCCGGGCACTTAAAATAAAAAAAAAAAAAAAGCAAAGATATTTTGCACAGATGTTGACATCCATTCTTATTTATTTTTATAGAATTCTGTGTTCCTTACTTAGAATGTCTTTCCCTACTATTTATCTAATCTAAACACAGATCTAACAAGGTCTACAAAGATATTATAGAAGAAGATTGTGCTTTGCAGCTGATGGTATGATTTTTTTCTTATGTTTTTTTTATTTTGACATTTGATTAAAATCTTGATGCTTTTAGTTGTCTCAACAAATATGATTAGGAAAACAGCCATTGAATTCAACCTAGCATCAATTCAGCAGAACATTTGTAACCACTTCTATTTGGTGGACTGTCATATTGTTTTTTCCTTTATTTTTTGTTTGTTTTTGGTTATAATGTACTTGATGACAAGTATAGCCTATGCATTATTGTATAATACAAGCTTTTTCTACTACAGAATACATTGCAATTAAATGAAACCTATTGTACACTGTTGAATTGACTGCTTTATGCTGTGCTGTACAGGTGTCAGCTGTTGTTTTAAATGATGTACTGTCTTTACTACCCTAACTGAATAAACTCTCAGATCAGCTGGCTATCTCACTAAGAATGAGGGATTCAAACCTGTAGACTTCTTTAAGAATATAATATATCACACTAGAGTCAGTAAGCTATGGTGACTTTTGTAAAGAGTTTACCTGTGTTAAAGCATAGTGAACACATCCTAGTTATCCATGCAGCACAAGGGCTCATAAGCTGTTTATTGGGTCCAGGATCTTTGTGCAGGAGTGAGGTCTTATTGGAAGAAATAGTTGTGCAAAACAAAGTAAATATAGGGTTAATTGCCATTAAGGATTAGGAAAGGAAATATTTTAGGTTTAGAGTTAAGGTCATGAGACAGTGTTTCTTTTTATGCTAAGTGATAAGGTTTTATTTCAAGGTTCAAGTTAAGGAACTATTTTAGGTTTGGTAACGTGTTAGGGTAAGGGTTACAATAAGTATTATGCCAACTAAAGTGTTTGTGTAACATCCTCCTAGTTAGCTAGGGGGAGCTCTAGCTTCAATTGTTAGACAGGGGCTGAGCAGAAGCCCAGGTGCAACAGTCAGAGGGAGGTTAAATTTGTGTCAGAGCTAAGAGACTCTGCAGTCCAGCCTCTCTGAAATTTCCCCCTGCTCTATAATTTTGGAGAAAGGTCTAGGAGTGGCTGGTGTGTACTCTTAAGGGATCCTGGCCAATCCCCAAGCCAGGAAGCTTTGCAAGGGGCCAGGACAACCCTTAAAAGTGAGAGAGCCTGCTCAGCTGCAGGAGAGTTCGGGTGGAAGATGGAGAAGTGGGCTGAAGTGCAGGAGCCTGGGAGGAGGCCCAGATGGGAGAGGTATTGCATGAAAAAGGGTTATGACCCAAATGTGAAATGAAGACAGGGAAACGCAGACCTCCAGGCAAATTACGCTTATAACCTAACCATAAAAGCAGTGCAATACTAAAACCTTACACCAAAGACAAAAAACCTCACCCACAGCTAACAGAAAAAAACAATGCAAGGAGGGCCGGGTCATAACAGGAGGTCAGAACGTATGGGGTTAAGCAGAATGTTCAGTGAGCAGGAGAAAGTAGACAAAGCAGGGGATGAGGGAGAATGGTCAGACAAGCCCCAATCAGAGCAGAGAAGCAAATCAGACAGGAACAGGAAACCGGATTGCCAATAACAGGATACAGGGCCCAGGAGAAACCATTTCTGCAGGTCTATGGCCATCCCAGAGTTAATACACCACATAAGCGAATTCAGGTGTTTTGGCTGGCTAAGGTTTTGAGTCTCTATTGCTGGGAGCACCCGCTGGCCAGTCCCTGGTAAACTGCAGCCCATAAGGCAGGTGAGTCCCCACCATATGCTGGCCAGTCCATTCCTGACAGTACCCCCCCCCCCTCAAGGAGCGGCCTCAGGACGCTCCACACAGTCCTAGCTGGGCAAAAGTGTTTCACCGCCCCGGTTCTGTAAACTGGCGGGGATATCAAAGACTGGCACACCGGGCAGGACTTGGGCAGCTACACCCGCAGACTCAGGGGCATGGCTGATGTGGGACATGGGCAGACACTACCGCATTGCGTATTCACTGCGGCAACATTGCGGCAGAGGAACACCGGCAGCGGCACACGGGTTATGGACTCAGGGCAGCGGCACATCAGGCTGGATCCGGCCAACGGAGCACATCGGGCTGATACTCCGGCAAAGGCAATATCGGGCTGTTCCGGGCAGAGGCACATCGGGGCTGGACTCCTGGCAACGCAGGCACATGGGCTGGGGACTCCGGGCAGAGGCACATTCGGGCTGGACTCCGGCCAGAAGGCACACATCGGATCACCAGCGAAGAGCAGGCAGCCGGGCCACCAGGCGGGGCAGCAGGTCAGCGGGCCACCAGGCGGAGCAGCAGGCACCCAGGCCCCCAGGCGGAGCAAGGCAGGCACCGGGCCCCCAGGGCAGCAATGCAACGGGCCCCCAGGCTGGGCGTCAGGCACTCGGCCCCCAGCGAGGGTCGACAGGCACCGCCGCCCCCAGCGTGGGGCGACAGGCAATCGGGCCACCCAAGGCGGGGGGCGACAGGCATCGGCCTCCCAGGCGGGCGCCGGGCCCCCAGGAGGGGCGACAGCATCGCAGGTCCCCAGGCGGGGCGACAGGCATCGGGCCCCCAGGCGGGGCAAAGACATCAGGGCCCCCAGGCGGGCAAGGTTGACAGGTCTTCGGGCCCCCACAGCGACAGGTCCTCGGGCCCCCAGTAGGCAGGCAGCGACAGGTCTCGGGCCCCCATCATCGGGGCCCCCAGGTCGGAGCGGCGGGCGCCGGACCCCCCAGGCGGAGCGACAGGCACCGATGTCACCAGGCACGACAGTGGGGCTCCGAAACAGGCATGACCGCTGCACTGGGTCAGACATTGGATCGTCTGGCTGGACAGCGGGCATCGGGTCACCAGGCATCAGGTCATTTGGCTCCGACAGCGGGCACCGCGTCATCTGGCAAGGCAGTGGGCTCCGAGTCAACTGGCCATGACCGCGGGCACTGGGTCAGACAATGGATCGTCTGGCTGGACAGCGTGGCATCGGGTCACCAGGCATCAGGTCATTGGCTCGACAGCGGGCACCGCGTCATCTGGCAGCAGTGGCGCTCCGACGTCAACTGGCATGACCCGCGTGGCCCTGGGCAGACTTGGAGCAGGCTGGACAACCAGGTCACAACTGACAGCTCATCGTTGGCAGGGCCAAAAGGCATCGAGGATGGCATAGCTAAACAATCATAAGGCAGGCTGGGCGGCTCCGAGTCAACTGGCATGACCGCGGCTGCACTGGGGTCAGACATTGGATCGTCTGGCTGCAGACAGCCGGGCAACCAGGCATCAGGTGGCTCAAGCGGGGCACCGCGTCATCTGGCAAGCAGTGGGCAACATCAGGGGCACGACACTCTGAGTGCAACGACAGCGGGCACCCAGGGGTCATCAGGTACCGGGCCCCAGGATTGTCTTGGCTCGACAGCGGCAATCGGGTCACCCAGGTAATGACAGCGGGCAACCAGGCATCAGGTCATTTGGCATGCCAGCGGGCACCGCGTCATCTGGCAAGGCAATGGGCACCCCGATCACCAGGCACGCAGGGGCTCTGCGGGGGCACAACAGCGGGCACCGGATTCAGGTACTGGTCGATCTGGCTCGACAGCAGGCACCGGGTCATGGCGCTGGATCGTCTGGGGCTCGACAGCGGGCAGGTCTCCGGCCCCAGGCACATGACAGTGGGCAGGGGTCATCAGGTACCGGATCGTCTGGATCAACAGCGGGGACATCAGAGTCAACTGGCCGAGGAGAATCAGGGATCAGACATCAGCAATCAGGCTGGTTATGTGGGAAACATCATCGTGGGTAGAGCAGGCATGAGGAAGGCTGGTCATTCAGCTGACATCGGCTGAGTAAGAGGCATCAGGGGCTGAGTAGAGGCATCACTGGGTCAGCTGGGTGAAGGTCATTCAGGCTGAGTGGAGCATCAGGCTGAGTGGAGGCATCAGGTCTGAGTAGACATCAGGCTGGTACAGCATCAGCAGGAACTGGTACAGACCTGCAGGATCAGGCATGCGGGTGCCGATCACCAGGCTGAACCCGGAGGAGGTTCTCTCAACGGCAGCGCACACCAGGTTTGGATACACAGCCTGGTATCTGGTTGGAAAGAATTTTCGTCCAGTTTCTGGTTTTAAGGCACTGAGTAAACCGCAGGCATCTGCAAACGAATGCAGACAGAGAAGAGCTGGAGGATGGGAGGGGTCACCAGTGCCAGAGGGCTTTTTTTAACCTTAAATACTTACATCTGCGGTAGATAGCAGGGCAGGAGGAGCTTTTGGGACGCAGTTTTGAGGTCAAATAGATTAGAAGCAGGAACTGGTGTTGACATCAGACCGGCTGGTGCAAGGTTGAGTCTGTGAACAAAGCTGGAGCTGCTGGGTCAGACAGCACCGTTTATACGTACTGTGGTGAAATGCAGCCTGGTAATTCACTCATCCTGAGTCTAATAGCAGCCTCATAAGGCGGGCAAAAATTCATCCTGGTGAGTCATCTAACCTGGATCGTCTGGATCCAAAATGGCACCAATTGCTGGCTCAGTCCCTGGATTCTGAGCGAAATTATACAGTATCCCGGGTGATACCTTCAGAGTTTAGATAAGCATACTCTCTGTCTCAAACACTAGAGCACAAGAAGATCTCTGTCTGAGGATGCTTTCATTCTGGTCAGGATTGGCCTTGGTGCCAGGCTCCCAGGGTATCCTTATGTGAGTGACGCAGGGAACCGGCCAGACTCCACAGATCATTTAATTTATTAACACTCATACATAAACATGCAACGGCACCAACTAACACAGTGCAAACGCCCAATGTAAGAGGGATGATTTTGGGGAGTCAAGAACGTAATGGAGTTACTGGATGGAGATTTCCACAGGGGGAAGAGCAGGAGAATGGTCATCAACCGTTTGCAGGAACCAGTGGATATAAACAACCAAGCAGAGTAGGTTGGGCCAAATCAATTATTTTTGTTTTGTGGCTGACAAATGCTGGGAGACCCGCTGGCCAGCCCTGGTACAGCAAACAGGCAAGGTAACCATTGGGCCAGTCCAACAATTTCCAAACCTTCAACTTAGAGCAAAGAACTTGTGGGTTTCAATTTTCCCTGCTTGGGCCAGTAAATCTCATTGTACTCATTCATAACATCCCATAAGAGGGGAGGGCATGTCCACAGGGGATATCCCTTCGAGGTTAACCGTAGACATATATGTCAAAAAGCAGAGTAAATTATTTTTTTTGGGTTTTTTGTTTGAACAAAGAGATCCTGGTAAAACAGATAACAGGCCAATTTATGGTGTAGTCAAGGCAGTGACTGACACCATACATGTCCATTTTTAAACCACTAACAAACATCAATCTTCCAGTGCTACTTAATCTTGCAGCAATCTGCCCAGCTCTGAAGGTAAGTACCTCTAGTACGATTACACCCAGCCAACATGTCTCAGAGACCTGTGAGAAAATGCGATGGAAAAAGACCATGTCTCTCTACCACCTGGTAAGTATTTTATATCATTTTTCTCCTGGGCATAATACGATATACTGGATTTATGAGTGAAATGAAAGGCCCTGGGCCATGCAACAGGGTCCAACTGCCGATCCAGGTCCCAGTTTCACACTGCAAGAAAAGGAGAAGGATGTGAAGAAACTGAAGACTGGAGGATCTTATAGATTGTAGTTTAACATTTGCCTGAGTTGTTCCGAGAGGGAGCACAGCTGTTCGAAGTCTGCAAGAGGGCGCCTAACAAGAGACAAGATATGGAGGAGTTGTTTACCAAAGGCAGTGAACTGGTGTGTTGTCAACCAATCCAAACCATCTCGAAGCATCGATCTTAGAAGGAGAAAGAAGATGCATGCTTGAGGCCAAGTATATTGATGAAATTCCCTCAAGGCCTGCAGATGACCGCTTCCCAGAAGGCAGGGTTGTCAAACAACAGAGACAATGGGCTGGGGTCTGTAGATAGAGCGTATATTTATACCATATACATAGGGTGTTCGTGGTGAGAGGAGTGAGGGAAGAAAAGAAAGAGTATGATTTTTTTGTACCCCCATAGCAGAGCCCGAAGATCATCAGGGGATAGTTTCAATAGCAGGGGAGGCCTTGGAGTATGGGAATGTGAACCAGTCCGGAAGGCATGCCTAGATCACGGAAGCATAATATTATTTAAAATCCGGCAGACCCACAGCACCTTCGGATTTAGGTAGGTGGAGGGTGCGTAACCTAAGTCTTGAAACTTGTTTGCTCCAGATAAAGCAGGAGGAAAAATAACGAAGCGTTTGAAAAAACAAAGACGGGAGAGCAAGGGGGAGGGTTTTGAAGAGATAAAGGAGTTTTGGAAGCGTATCCGTCTTTATTGTAATAATTCTTCAGAACCATTGGATAGATTTAGTGTGCCATACGTCCAAATCTCTGCAAACTTGAGACAAAAGAGGACTAAAGTTGAGTTCAAACATGTCCATTAGACAGGCGGGGGATGCCCAGATATTTAATCGAGCAATCAGACCAATGAAAAGGGAAATAAGAATGTAAGAGTCGAACAGTGGCAGGTGGTAGAGAAAATATTTATGGAGTCTCTTGGAGATGTTTATTTTAAAACTGGGTCATCAAAACGTTTGAATTCACGGAACAGAAAGGCAAACTGATGTGAAGTTGCTAAATGTATAGAAGTAAATCATTAGCGTAGAGGGAGAGTTTATAATGGGTCGTGGGTGTGGGAATACCTAAAATAGAGGTGTTTTGCGTTATAGCTTGAGCTAAATGTTCAATGACAAGAACAAAAAGAAGGGGGGAAAGGGGACAACCCTGCCTTGTGCCATTGAAAATTAAAAAGGGCTTAGAGCGTATGCCATTAACTAAAACTAACACTGAAGGAGATAGGAATAGCAAGCCATAAGTTGCTGATATAGTTAAGGCCCATGCCAATTTGTTCCAAAGAAAGTCTTAAAAAAAAAGCCAACTCACCCTACTAAGGTAGCGCCATTTCCTGAATTTAGGAAGACAGAGGATCGGGTTCAGCAGTGGGAGGAGAAGTGTTGGAGGGGGGATGTGAATTTTATGTGCACTATCCCTAGCTGCTAGGAAGTATCGATAAGACGAAGAAGTTTACGACAGACATTGGAAAGTTCAATAAGAATAGTGGCGTCTAAGTCCCTTTTGTGGAGGGCTTCTATGAGAGAGGCACATTTTTCAGGCTGATAGCTAAAATAAATGGGAAATGGTGGAGAGTGAAAAACAGTTTTACTTTTGACTGCTGGTGCTTGTAATTGTTTAATTTCTTCTTTGGGTCTTGCTAGAAGCATTTACTTTTTTAAATCACTTTTTCTGTCACTTTTTAAATAGCATTTTTTTTCTTCCTTTCCTTGCCTTCCTTCAGTCTGCTAATTAAGGGGAGGGGTTAATTGGTCACAGGTGCTCCAGGTACTATATTACTTTCTGTAAAGCTCACTCTGAGCTTGCTCATCCTTGAGCTTGCCTGTATTTTGCTTGCTGGACCTTTGACCAAGTGGACATTTGATAAGTGGAGTTAAAAAACTGGAGTTGAAAACAGGAGATTATAACAGGAGTCTACTAACCTGTAAGTGACAACTGATATTTCCTATTAGTAATATTAATATTGTAACTGGGATATGAGTGCTAGCAGGGTTGAAGGTTTTGTGCAGTGCACAGTGTGCCACATATATACAACAATGGAGCAGCAGATCCAGGATGGATACTGCTGCGACAGATGTGAGCGGGTTTCCCTTCTGGAAGCTCGCATTAGAGATTTAAAGGAGCAAGTTGCAACACTGGGCAGAACCGACAGCCTTGACAGCCTTGAAAGGGGACTTCTGCTCCATGAGCAGGTAGCTAATGGGATTGGTGTGGATGGGCTAATCAGGATTATCAGGTAGGATGATGGGTTACTCTAAGGAGAGGGAGTGGAAGGGGCTCACAGTTAAAGGAAGGCCAGCCCTTGGTTTGTGCACCCAAACAGATTTACCAAGTTGGGTTAAGATGTGGGGGGTGGCAAGCTAAGGGGTGGCAGCCCTGGATGCTACTGCTATCCCTAACAGCCAGGAGGGCAGACCATCTGAGAGGGGTGGTGAGAG